ACTGCCTCGGAAACCCAAGGAGGGGTCGCTATGAGTCAGGGCTGACTCGACAGCACATAACAACAACAACAACAATCAAGACTGTGTGGCATGGGCATAAGGCTCAACAAACAGACTAATGGAACAGATAAGAATCCAGAAATCAACTTGCACTTATAGGTCATTAGGTTTCTTACATCCACTCCTTGGAAGGAAGATGGGGCAATCTACTTCCATAGTGATACTGCCTCGGAAATCAAAGGAGGGGTCACTATGAGTCGGGTCCAACTCAACGGCACATAACAACAACAACGGGTTTCTTATAAAGGCATCAGAGTAATCCAAGAGAGAAAGGGAAGTCTTTTCAATGAAATGTACTGGAATAAACTAGGTAGCAATATGAGGAAAAAAATTAACCTTGACCCTAATTTCATGCCATACACAAAAACCAATTCAAGATGGACCACAGACCTGAACATCAAAGTCACAACAATAAAACTTTTAGAAAAAAAAAATATAGGGGAATATCTTCATGCCTTGGATGTAGGCAATATTGCCTTAGATGGCAAGAAAATACTAATCACACAAGAGAACAAAGATCAATTAGGTGTCATCAGACTTAAAAAGTTCTGCTCATGGCAAGATGCAGTTAAGAAAATGAATAAGCAAAACAAAGACTGGAAGGAAACATTTATCAAACACACATCTGACCAAGTACTGGCACCGGAGATCTGTAAAGAGCACCTACCTACAACTCCACACACACACACACACAAACTAAACACTCCATTTGAAACACAGCCCCTCAAAATTTGAAAAGTCACTTCATGAAAGAAGATACATGAACGGTCACTAAGTACATACAAAAGTGCTCAAAATAAAAACTACATCAGCACAAGGCCACAAGACTGCCTAAGAGTGAAAGGAATAACACCACCAAGAGAGCAAGGGTCCTGGTGAGGATGTGGAATGACCGGAACTCTCGAACATCAGTGGCGGGAGTGCAAAATATTACACCTTGGAAAAAGTGCTGGCAGTTTCTAATAAAACTAATCACATATGCTTACCATAAAACAACAACA